TCGTATAGATGAGGAAACTGAAGCCCAGTGAAGAGTGCTGGCTCTTGAGAAGACACCTGCCTAGAGCCTGGAACATGGTTCTCTTACTAGACTCCTGGTCCTCCAATTAAGGCTGTGCCAGTAAAAGGCTCCACAGTTCCGATTCCTTTCTCCTCAGCCCACTCATACCAATTGCAAGCTTCTTGAAGGCAGTTCAAGTAATTTGTTGGTTACTTCATCTGCATTTCCAAGACTTTCTCAAAGTCCCTTCTGAGCGGGACCCAGCCCCATAATCCCATCTGCTAGCCTCTGTAGGGGGTACCAAAAATAGACAACTGATCTAAGATGTACTATTTGATAATTCTCTTATAAGAACTGGGAATTCAAGTAAGTATCTATTGTGCCTACATGGAGAGAACATGGAAGGCCCTCCAGGTATGTCCAATTTTTCCCATGTACAAGAAGAAACAGAAAATGCCAGTTGGTGAGACAGACAGATTTAAGGGCCTCATAGAGAGAGTCAGGAAAAAGGGGCTCACTACCCATTTCCCAATGGATTTTAAGTTCTGGTTCCATTCCTCATGAGTCTTGTTGCACTTCCTGCCCTTGGGTTCTGGGAGATAACCACAACTCCTTCCAATAAGTGCTCCTTTCTCTTAAGATAGTTTGAACAGATATCTGTTACTTGCTCCTAAGTCCATATACTACTCATACTTTCACTGCCAACTTCTAATGCCATACCTTCTGTATCAGTTAGCTATTGCTGTGTAACAAATTACTCCAGAACACAGTGGCTGAAAAAACAAAACAAAACAAAAAACCCACATTGATCTCACAGTCTCTGAGGGTCAAGAATCTGGACGTGACTTAGCTGGGTCCTCTGGCTCAGCACCCCTCACAAGGCTGCAATCAAAGTATTGCTGGGGTTGCAATTCCATCTGAAGGCTCGACTAAGGGAGGGAGGCTCTGCTCCCAAGGCCGCCTACGTGGCTGCTGGCAGGTCTCAGAAGATCTGCTTCCAAGCTTACACACATGGGTCTCTTTACAGGGTTGCCTTACGACATGACTGCTCCTACACTGGCTACTCCTAGAGCAAGTAACACAAGAGTGAGTGAGAGAAAGCACCCAGAAAGGGAGCCAGTCTTTACATAACCTAATCTTGGAAGTGACATCCCATCACTTCTGCCGTATTCTGTCTGTTAGAAGTGAGTCACTAGGTCTGGCTCACACTCAAGGTAGAGAGGATTTCACAAAGGCATAAATGTCAAAAGGCGGGGATTGTGGGAGGCTTTCTTGAGGTTCCACACCTTAGCTAAATTAATACTCAAAGTTTGCTGAATGCATATTTACCACAGGTACGCTGTACTTTTGGGGCCCCTTTTGTCTCTTCTTATGTTTCTGGAGCTCTGTTGGATTGAACAGGGTACATGAGCCAGTCTCCTTTCTAACAAGCACATATGATGACCAAAGACCAAACTTCCCTCATCACCTAGGCTACAAATTTCTTGAAAAGAGGAATTTTGTCTTACACTTTGCAATGCTATGAACACCACATGCAGTCAATAAATATATCATCATTGGTTAAATGGATCTGTGTGATACATCACAAAGAGCTCTACATGGGTCTCTGGCACCCAAGTTCTACTTTTGGCTCAGCATTCAACTATTTTGACCTTGGGTACACCACAACTTCTTAGGCCCTTGGTTTTCCCCCTTTAAAACAAGGAGATTAGATGGGAAGATCTATAAGGTTACTATAATAAGTAATATGTTCTAAAAAATTTCCCCTCATTTTGACCCTCATCATCCCCTTGGCCCACATCCAATTTCAGCCACAGCTGCAGTGGGTAGATACACTTTAAACTGAGAGTATTCATCTTCTTTCTGCCCCTGGGCCTTCTCCACCCATGCGGCAGTTTGCCTGGTCTACGTGTGTGTGTTTACACTGCATAAGTCGGATGGAGTTAGCATTCCCGGGGCAATCCTCAACCAGGGTCAGATGGCAGCTAGTGGCTAAATGTCTCAGCCTCCTGTCCTTCCAGTGGACAATTCTGCAAGGCATTCTCTGCACTTCCTGTGAAACCAGCTCCTGCTGCCCTCTGTTATATTCTTGTTTCTTTTTTCCCTAAATCACTTTCTCCTTTTATTCACTCCTAGTTGCTGGGATCACCTCTTAAATAAACTACCTACAACCGGGACCTTGTGTTGTGCTCTCCTTTAAAGAGGACCCAGGCTAAGAAGGAAGCCATTTCTCTGTCCAGCCTTTGTCATTATGGCTAAACCATGCGGAAGTGTGGGTCAGGAAGACAAAGAATGTGACGTGGGGTGGAGTCCCAGACAGAGAGGAAAATTGGCTCCTTCTGGCCCTCTCTGGACAAAAGTTTCAGAGTGGAGAATTGTCTGATGGGAGTGAAGGCAAAAGCTAAGAACAGAAGTCATCCACTCTGTCTGGGACTCCGGGAGGAGCCAACCTAGCATGGTATCCCTGCAGTCACCTAGGGCAGGTAGTGGTTAAGCCAAGAGCAAGTCTGAGTTAGCACTGCTGAGTCATCCTGGGCAATATTTGGCATGCAAGAGATCCCAGAGATGCCTACAGGCCTCTAGGAGGACACAGATTTTGGTAAGACACTTGCCAAAGAGTTCACCGTGGAGTGAAAAAGATCCTAGAGTCAAGAGTCGTGGCTGGGTTACCTGAACCAGAGACTAAACATGCCTCAGGGGGTCTTCAGTAGCAGCCAGGGCTGAGGAGGGCCCGGGTCGGCAGGGAGGATCACAAGGCCCTGGGAAAGGATACTGCATGATCACTAACTATCGTTGTCAGCCTTGTGAAAGTCTATTGCTGTGGAGACATGAAAGATCCAGAGAGTGGCAGTGGCACTGAATGGATCCCGACCCCCATAACCATAAGGATGTGGCATACACCCTCCCCATACCCAGGTGCCATCTTGGAGAGGATCAAGAGAGGGAGAGCAAAATGGAAAGAATAACTATTCAAAGCAAAGGAGACTGAATTTCCTAAAGAGATTGTTTAACTGATTGGTGTGGACCAGGCTTACCAGATGGGAGCCAAGTTTAACACTCACTTCTGGTTCTGTAGCCTACTTCCACATGTGTGCATGTGCTCTCCCACGGACACACACAGGCACACACACACGCATGCAAAGGCATGTTGGGCTTATAAGAAAACTCTAGTCTGCTATAGAAAATTCCTTTGCAGACCTGAGTGGAGCATAGAGAAATCTTCGTGAGTGCTAATGCGGCAGAGAATTTGGAGGGACCCAACCACAGATACAGGGTCTATCAGCTGGGGCCGTTTTCCATGCTCGGGCCAGGCTCATTTGGGCTGGAAAAGCCACATCAGCTGCCAACCCATCTCCAAGTGTCTGGTTTTACCTGGGAGGCAGAAGTCAGGGTTCTTAACATACTCAGCAAGAACTGTGAAGGAAGGGTGGGGTGGGGGGATCACAGCATTTCTCCTTTCATCTCCTTGGCTAGTCCTGGTTTCCCTGGCCCCCATCTCACCTTTATCAAGGCGATCTGAGTCCCCCTGTCTCTCCCGGCCTCCTCTGGGATGCCTCCTTTGCCATGACAGTTGCTGAGGGTTCCCTAGGGCAGGTGGAAGCCCGATTTGCTTTTCAAGTTCTGCCCACTTATTGATCTCCTGTCTGAGAAATGTCAGCAGCAGCCAGGAGCTTTCCCCGCTGAGGCACTTAGCTTGGAAGCCTGTGGTATCTGCCTGTATAAACCCTCCGCCTCCTGCATCTCTGGCTTTAGAACTATCCCCACCCCCACCTTGGGGAAAGTCTTCTAAGATGAGATGGCAAGAGTCAAACGGCAACGTGCTTTGAACACTGGGACGGGAACCAGATTCAAACTGGGCAAAAGCCGTGAGCTCAGAGCGAGTGCATATCGCTTCCTGCCACCCCTCCCCCTTCTCTCTGCATCTTGTTGCTGGGAGCAGGTAAGGTGGTCTCCCCAAGGAGGCTAGCCAGGAGCAGGCAAGTGGCCCAGGAGTCAGAAAGTGGGGCTCTGGTCCGGGATCTGGGCAGATGAAGGCAACCCATTATTTCAACTGCCATCCCCTCTCCGGGTACCCTAGCTCCAATACAATTGAAATGCAGGATTGTGAGAAGGGGAGGGGAAGAGAAAAAGACTGTGTGTTTAGTGGTTAAAGCTTTTAAAGTTTAAGTGCATAAACAGGGCCTTCTCCGTATCTGTCTATAGCAATTCCCATGACAGTTACAGCAAAATTACAGAAACTGGGTCGTTTATATAACCCTTTGTATTGTCAAAGCACATTAAATGTCTGCCTTCCTGCACCCTGCCAAGCTGTCTTCAGCTGTCAGATCCCCATACTACAGCTCAGCACACTGAGGGTAAAGGACCTTGGCAATGCCTGCTCGGGGAATGCCAGACCCTCAGGTTCAGCTAGGGTTTTGAAAGGGAGATTTCAATTTCTTGAGCACGAGTCCCAAGGTTTCAAATCTGCTGAAGTCTCTGCTTTCCAGCCAAATGTTTTGTCACCTGTTTAGTGGGTTTTTTCCCTCAAATGGGCAAACACGACATTTGTCTTTTATTCTGGATAGAGTTGAGGGAGCTCCTTCATCTATCTATTTATTTGATTATGAAGGATTTATCAAATGTTTTCTAAAATACTAGGACCAGGAATAATATGCACCAGCCACTGTTTAAAGGACTTTGTGTATATTAAGTCTTTTAATCCTCATTTTAATCCAATGAGGTAGACCCTATCAGTATCCCCATTTTATAGGTGAGGAAACTGAGGCATGGAGAGGTGTAATGGATGTTGTGGTGTGCTGCCCAGGTGATCCTTCATGACTGAGGCACTCATTCCCCCAGCTGCTGGGAGTATAGGCAGCAGAGAGTTCACATGTAAATTTTTAAATGAAAATTGTATATATTTAAGGGGTATAACATTTAATGCCCTCCAGAAACTGCCATCAAAGTCATGTCCCCTTCCATATTCAATGACAGGCTCCTGCAGAGGCATAAAGACTCACCATCTTGCCTCAATTCTTCAGAACGACTCTGCAGGGCTGCCCCAGATCCACTGCTTCCCGGGGGTTCACTGAGGTCTCCTTTGTGACTACACTGCCTTGAGAACGCTGCCTTGTCCCTGGAATCTTCTTTCCACATGCAAAAAGCAACTCTTCTCCCCTGGGAATGCAAAATGGTTAAAAAAAAAACCTTTGGAAAAGTTGGAACAGTTTCTTAAAGAGTTAAATATATGCCTATTATTCCATTCCTGGGTATTTACTCAAGAGAAAAGAAATCATATATCCAGAAACTTGTCCATGCATGTTCAGAGCAGCTTTATTTGCAACACCTCAGACCTGGAAATAACCCAAATGACCATCAACAGGTGAACAGATATGTCATATATATATGTGTCATATATATATATATATATATATATATATATTTTGCAACAATGAAAAGGAATAAACTATAGATACATGCAACAACACGAATCTCAAACACATGGTGAGTGAAAGGAGCCAGATATAAAACACACACTGTGTGATTCCATTTACATGAAGTTCTGGAACAGACAAAACACATCTATGGTGATAGAGGTCAGAATAGTGGTTAACTTGGTTGGAGGATGTTTTGATTGGAAAAGAGCACAGGAAATTTTCCAGGGAGATGAAAATTCTCTTTATCTTAATGGGGTAGTGTTTACATAGGTGCATGCATTTGTCAAACTCATCAAACTGTACACTCAAAATGGGTGCATTTTGCACGTGAATTACACATTTGCAAAGTTGACTTAAAAAAATAAGTCACTGACACAGCAGACGTGGTGTTCTTGCCCTGTGCTTTCTGGAGTCTCTGGGACCCATAAAACAGTACGCAGTTGGGAGCCTAGGTGTATTTCTCTGGAAAAGGGCTCTCATTTTCCTCAGGTTCTAATCCGACAAGAGTGTCTGCAACTCAAATTTAACACAGACACACAAGAAACAAAGCAACTCAAATAACCATTCTGTGTTAACCAGCAGACAACTTCCTTCACAGAACTTGGTAGCCTTTGGGGGATGGATTCCTGCAGACGCAGCGCCATGGTGGAAAGAGAGGGGGTCCAGAAGAGGGTACAAGACCAATCTCGCTCCGTGGAGGGGAAGGAGGGGCTGAGGGTCAGGTGTCAACCTGAAGAATCACCAAGCTGCTTAACCTTGTCTTCCAGCAAGATGGAGGAGAAGCCACAATCGCTTAGGTGTCTACAACTTATACAGGTTTGAAATCACCATCTTGTCATGCCTGTTTAAACCACCACAATGCAGTGAAATCCTATTATCTGCCATATATTACTGTGCTGACAGATGTGGGAGGGAACTGTGGACACCATCAGACACACCTCATTCCCTCGGGAACCAGGGAGCTTGGGAAATTCTGTCCTGGCAAAAGCCTCTTTGAACAGTCATCTGAGCACCTCAGACTTAAGCTGGGATGGGGAATGGGCTATGTCGGAGCAGCACCTGGTGCAGGGGAGCACGTGTGTGCCTGTGTGAGCGTGTGCACACACCTGCAAGAGCTGCGCTGGTGGTTCAGGAGATATTTCAGAAACTAGCAGCAGCAGCAGTGCTTGGGAAGTTGAAAAGCTGAAACCTGTGAATCAATCCAAGTATAAAGCTCTCGGTTTCCAATTCAGTACCTGTTTCCAACACCTTGCAAAGAGTCAATCTGTGCAGAACCTCACACTTTTGGCATTTCTGGTACTCAGTTCTAGGAGGAGGCAGTAACAGCAGGTGTCAAACCAATGATTTCTTTTAGAAGCTCCTGCACCATCAATGACATCCAATCTGCTCTTGTAAATACTCAGGAACTTTTCGATGTCCATACTCAAATACTCAGTAAGAAGCTAAAACTTCTGTCTTCTACAGGCTATGGCCGAAGCAGACCCTGGGGATATTTTAACTTATTCTTTCAACATATATTTATCAAGTATCTACCATGTGTCAGGCCATGGACACAGGAGGAAACAGGACAAAAAATCCTGCCCCCATGGAGCTCACATTCTAGAGGATTAATGAATAAATTATATGTTATGTTAGATAATATGGTAAGAGAAAAGTTAAGCAGAAGATGGCAAAAGTGGGGCTGCAATTTTAGACAAGATGGTCATGAAAGATCTCATTGAAGAGAGGACAGCTGAGCGAAGACTCTTAGAGGTGAGGGAGCTAGCTCTGTGACTAGCCCAAAAGACAGTCCCAGGGAACAAGACCAGCTAGTGCAAAGGCTAGGAAGCAGGAGCATGCTGGAGTATTAGAAAAAAAGCAAAGAGGCCAATGTGGCCAGAACCAAATGAGCAGGGTGTGGGCAAGAACTGAGACGAAACTAGGGAGGTAGTAAGGGCCAGATTGTGTAGGTTCCTGTAGGCCATTGGAAGACTTGGAGTTTGTAAGGACATTGCAAGGGTTTTGACTCTGAGTGAGATGGAGGGTTCCAAGCAGAGGAGGGAATTGCTCTAACTTAGGTTTTAAATGGATCACTCTGGCTGCTGTGCTTAGAACGGAATATAGTAGAGGTTGGGCAAAAAGTCTGTGAATGTAAAGCTAGATCAATGGAAACGATCTAATCTGAATAACAGGCATAAAAATACTGGGAAAAAATTAATAGAGACTCAGGAAGCTGTGGTCTAGCATTTATGTCATCAGAGACCCAGAGGAGAGGAGAAAAAGCGCAACACTGAGACAATATTTGAAGGTATAATGGTTGAAAGCTTCCCAAGTTTGGCAAAGGACATAAACCTATGTATTCAAGAAGCTGAGTAAACCCAAAATAAAACAAACCCAGAGAAATGCATGACTAGAGACATCATAAACTGGTGAAAACTAAAAATGAAGAAAAACTCTTGAAAGCCACCTGAAAAAACCAAGGCATTACCTATAGGGTGACAATTTAAATGACTACAGAGAGCTCGCAGAAATGATGGAGGCCAAAGGAAGTGGCATGATATTTTAAAAAGTGCTAAAAAAAAAAAACCTGTCAATACTATTCTAAATTGAGCAAAAGTACACTTCAGGAACAAATGAAGGTGAAATAAAGATTCTCAGGTGACAGAAAATTAAGAGAATTTGTAACCTGCAGAGCTCTCAAAGAACTGCTAAAGAAAGTTCTTCAAACAAAAGGGAAATAATAACAGAAAAAAAGTTGGAATATCAGAAATAAAGAAAGAGCAACAGAAATGGTCAACATCTGAGTAAATATAATAGCTTATTCTTCTATTTTGACATATTTAAAATATGTTTAACAATTGAAAGTAAAAATGATAACATTATCTTCTGGGGGCTTTAATATAAACAAATGTAATATATAAGATGGATACAACACACAGAGGGAAGATAAAAGACTTTAAACAGTAGTAGATTTTGTACATTCCAACTCAAGTGGCAGAATATTGATTCTAAATTGATGTTGAAAAGTTAAGTATATATTTTATAATATCTAGAGCAACCACTAAAATAACTATATGAGATAAAGTCAAAATCACAATAGATAAATTAAAATTAAATACAAAAAATGTTCAAATAACACTATAACTTGATGCAATGTGATATTCTGGAATGAATCTCAGAATGGAAAAATGGTATGACTAGAAAAATTGGTGAAATCCAAATAAATCCTGGAGTTTAATTGAAAATAATGTGCCAGTTTTTGGTTTCTTGATTTTGACAAACATATCATATTAATGGAAGCTGTTAACATTAGAGGAAACTGAGTGAGGAATATATAAGAACTCTCTATATTATCGCAGCAAATTTTCTGTTAATCTAAAAGTTCTCTAAAATAAAAGCTTTACTTAGAAAATGTTCAAGTAACCCAAAATTAAGCAAGAAAGGGCAAACAGAAGAACAAAAACCAGAGGGAACAAATAGGAACCAAATAATAAAATGATAGAGTTCATCAAAACATATCCACAATTACATTAATATAAATGGTTTAAAAATATCAATTAAAAGAAAGATGGTCAGAATTTATTAATAAAAGAAAAACATGACCCAATTATACAATGTCTACAAGAAACTCATTTCAAATATAATGATACCGGTAGGTTAAAAGTGAAAGGAGGAAAAAGATGTATCATGCAAATACTAATCAAAAGAAAGCTGGAGTGGCTCTATTAATAACAGACAAAAGAGATTTCAGAGTAGAGAAAATTATCAAGGATCAAAAGGATCATTACATAACAATAAAAGGATCAATTCACCAAGAATACAGAACAGCACTGAATGCGCATGCACCTAACAAAAGAGTTTCTACTACATGAAGCAAAAACTGACAAAATTGAAAAGAGAAATAGACAAATCTACAATTATAGTTAGAAACTTTTCAACATTTGTCTCAATAGATAGAACTGGTAGGCAGAAAACCAGCAAGTATATAGATTAAGCAATGATGGTCAAACAAATGGATCTAATCAAAATTTATAGAACATTCCATCCAACCACAGGAAGATACAAAGTTTTTTTTCAAATGAACATGAAACATTCACCAAGATAGACAGTATACTATAAATCTTAACTAATTTAAAAGAATTGAAATTATACAAAGTGTGCTCTCAGACCATAATGTAATTAAGCTAAAAATCAGCAAAGAAAGCTAACAGGAAAAGCACCAAACACTGGGAAAGTTAACAGCATACTTCTAAATAATCTTTGGATCAAAGAGGAAATATCACGGGAAATTTAAATGTATTTTGAACTGCATGAAAATAAAAATGCAACATATTGAAATTTGTGTGATGTATCTATAGCAGTGCTTAGAGGGAAATTTATAGTATTAAATGCTTACACTAGAAAAGAGAAGTTCTCAAATAACCAACAGCTTCCATCTTAAGAAATTAGAAAAAGAACAAAATAAATCCAGATCAAGCAGAAGGAAGGAAATAATAAAGAGCAGAAGTCAATGAAATTGAAAACAAATAAGCGATAGATAAATCCAATCAAACCTCAAACTATTTCTTTGAAAAGATCATTACAATTGATAAATCTCTAGCAAAATTGACAAAAATAGAGAGAGAAAACACAAATTTCTAGTATCAGGGAGGAAAGAGGGAATATCACTACAGCCCCTGCAAACATTAAAAAAGATAATAAGGGAATACTATGAACCACTCTATGCATATCAATTTGATAACTTAGATAAAATGGACCAATCGATTCCTT